TCTCCTCCTTCTGCCACGTAGTTCTCTGACAGTATCCCCGGTCCCTGCTCCTCTTTCATCTCTTGGTCAGCTGTTCAGCCTGCTCGGACCCTCCATGAGTGTCTCCAGCACTTTCTGTGGTAGCCTCTAGATTGACTCCGGCAAGGTGATTGTGTTATACGTCACCATCTGATACCAGGCGAGCGTGAGCTCTCGTGATCTCCCAAAAGCCATCCGGTCACTACCTTCCTCTCGTTCTGATGGACAGGCTGTGGCGCGCCTTGGGGCAGATGCACGTGGAATCTGGGCAGCAGGCATCTCTGCTCCGCTTGGGGTTTCCGTGCGGGTGGACACGCCAGACTCCTTTGGGGCTTGATTCAGGAGCACGTGGAGGGTCTCTCCCTCAGCAGGAATCCCCGTGGACGCTTCCGTCAGGCCGATGAGCCCCTCCGTGCCCTGACTGAATGTGGTACCTCAGGCATGTTCTCCCGGGGTCACTGGTGCAGCTTCCTCTCTGGTGCTGTCTCACACGCAATGCCCCCGGCTCCCGGGCAGATGACTCTGCAAAAACTTTGTCTAGGCGAGTAATTGATGTTTTCTCAGGTGCTGTTTTTGGACGTCGTGGTTGGCGGGGGAGGGCACTGACATTCCCTGTGTCTTTAGTTGGCCTCCTCCAGTTCCTCGTTGGGTGGCGGAGAACCCTGGGTTCTCGGAGGCCGTGCCCGCAGAGTAAGAGCCTTTGCAGGTTCTGGCCCTGGCAGACAGACTGAATCGGCTTCCCTGCTTCGCCTGCAGGGGAGTCACTTGGAAATGAACCGTTCATGGCCGTGGCCCCAGACCTGCTTGACAGAGCCAGCGTGGTGGGAAGGGCGGACGGGGCCAAAATCAAACCACTTTTAGGCTCTCTCCAAACTTGACTCGGACTCTTGGTGCCGTCCAGGAGAGGTCTTTTCCAGTGACTTCATGGACGTGCTGCCAGAGCCGGGATCCTGTTGCTCTTAACTTCCTTGATGGAAGCGAAAAGAGGAGAAGGAAGGATCGCAGGCACTACTTCATAGAGCGTTTGGGTGTCGTGTTGCGCCGTCCTCATGATGAGCTGTAGAAAGGCTGCTGTGAAAAGTGGGAGCTTTGTTGCTCAGTTGTGTCCCACTGAACTGCCAGGCATTCAACTGCTGCTTCAGAGAGCACAGCTCCAGTGGGCTGGCCATGTTGTTCAAACGCAGAACTTACGCTTGCCAAGAAGACTACTTTATGGAGCACTCACACAGGGCGAGCGCTCACACGGTGGTCAGAAGAAGTGATACAAGGACACCCTCAAGGTCTCTCTCAGGAACTTTGGCATTGATTGTGTGACATGGGGGACGCTGGCACAGGACCACCCAGCATGGAGTGCTCTCATCAGAGAAGGTGCTGTGCTCTGTGAGCGAAGCAGAATTGAAACAGGGGAGGGGCAGACACTCCAGGTCGGAGGAGCAGCGAGTGCTGAGGCATGGAGATGAGCACGGCTGGACCCAGGACTTGGGAAGCCTTGGAATGCCAGCACAGGACGTGAGTGCCAGGCAGCCCCTGAAGCTTACTGAGCAGCAGGGAGGGATACAGTGAGCCCTTCTCTTTAGGCAGGGAGACGAAAGAAGAGGCTGCTACCGTGCCCAAGCTGGGAGTGGAGAGCAAGGGCCAGATGGGCGGAGGAGGTGAAGGGCCAAGTGTGGCTTTAAGGGGACAAGCCTGGGCCGTTGGAAAGATGGCAGGACCCTCTATGGAAATGAGAGGTTGGGGGGCTAAAGGCATGAGTTCGAGTTCCACACTGAAGGAATTCTAGTTGGTCAACATGCATTTATTAAGCACTTGGTAAGCAGTGGAGATAAAGTGACTGGTAAAAAGATCAAACTGATAGGAGGTGGTCTTAGAGGGGAAGGCGCTTGCCTGGGGGCGGGGGAGGGCAGGGAGGGCCTTCTCTGGGTGGTGGCAGGATTGGAGCGGGAACTTGAAGGGAGCTGAGGACCAGAGGAGGCGGAGGTGCAGAGGGAGAGCGTTCCAGGCGCTGCGCACAGTTAGAGAAAATCGGCCCAGCCGGGGTCTGTGAGACCAGAGGGTTCCTGATGTTTATGTGGGGATTTGTTCCGTGAAGTTTGGATCCACACTTGATGAACTGCAGGGCCACATGCGGGTTCCCCAACCCTGGAAAAGACCATTGGGTTTCACTGTCACAGAACGCAGCCACTGGGCCCACTGAATAGTTAGGAGATGTATGGTGACCGTCCCTTGGGCCGCTGCAAGCATTGAGGAGTGAGTGCAGTGTGAAGAATTGGAGACCATGAATGAATGGTATGTAGACCCCCCTCCAGCTCCCTCCTGCAACTGCCCGGGCCAGCCAAGCTGCCTTCAAGCCTGACTTAACCTGTAAGTGTCTTCTCCCCTTGTCACTCATATGCTGTCCTAGCCCAGTGCCTGGCGTACAGTAAGCACTCAGTCTCTCTAGGAGTTTGGCAGTCAAAGTGAGGAGAGAGAGCTGTGAGAAAAGATGTTAGGTAGAAAATAGTATGGCAGAAACTAGGCATCGACCAACATCTTACACCCTATACCAAGTTAAAGGCAAATTGGGTACATGATTTAGATATAAAGGCTGATATAAGCAAACTAGGAGAGCAAGGAATAGTTTACTTGTCAGATCTATGGAGAAGGGAAGAATTTATGACCAAACAAGAGATAGAGAATGCTATGAAATGCAAAATGGATGATTTTGATTAGATTATGTTGAAAAGCTTTTGCACTAACAAAGCCAATGCAGCCTAGATCAGAAGGGAACCTGAAAGCTGGGAAGCAAATTTTAGAGCGACCAGTGTCTCTGACAAAGGCCTCATTTCCAAAATATATGGAGAACTGAGTCAAATTTATAAGAATACAAGTCATTCCCCAATTGACAAATGGTCAAAGGATATGAATAGGCAGTTTTTAGAGGAAGAAATTAAAACTATAGTCATATGAAAAAATGCTCCAAATCACTATTGATTAGACAAATGCAAATCAAAACAACTGGGAGGTACCACATCACGTCTATCAGATTGACTAACGTGACAAAACAAAAAAATAATGATAAATGTTGGAGAAGATGTGGGAAAGTTGGAACACTAATACATTGGTGGTGGAGTTGTGAAATGATCCAGTCATTTCTGGAGAGCAGTTTGGAACTAGGCCTAAAGCGCTATAAAAATGTGCATACCCTTTGACCCAGCAATAGTACTTCTAGGGCTATATTCCAAAGAGATCAGAAAAAAGGGAAAAGGACCCATGTGTACAAAAATATTTATAGCAGCTCTTTTTGTGGTGGCAAACAACTGGAAATTGAGGGTATACCCATCAGCTGGGGAATGGCTGAGCACGTTGTGGTATATGAATGTAATGGAATACTGTTGTGCTATAAGAAATGATGAGCAGGCAGACTTCAGAAAAACTTGGAAAGACTTGTATGGTCTGATGCTGAGTGAAGTGAGCAGAACCAGGAAAATGTTGTACACGGTAACAGCCACGTTGTGCAATGACTAACGTTGATAGACATAGCTCTTCTCAGCAGTACAACGATCTAAAACATCTCCAAAGGCCTCATGATGGAAAATGCTCTCCACATCCAGAGAAAGAACCATGGAGTCTGAATGCAGATGGAAGCAGACTATTTTCTCTTTTTAAAAAATTTTTTCTTTCTTGTGTTTTTTCTCTTTTGTTCTGATTCTTCTTTCACAACGTGACTAATGTGGAAATAGGTTTAATATGAAAAAAAACAAATAAATTAAAAAAAAAAGACAAGACATTAGGGCTTGGCGGGCACAAGGGACAGGCACTTAATTTGGGAGGAGGTCGGGGCATGCTTGTCAGTGACGGCAAGAAGTGGTGTCCCAGCCCGTCCAGAGCATGGCGGCTTGGTCTGGCCAGAGTGGGTTCAGGACTTGATTCTGCCCATCCTGCCAGCCTTCTGTGGGGTTAGTGTTCAGACAGCTGCCGGGCCCAGGTCATTACAGAAATGGAAAAGCAGGGCATGACGTAAACACCTCAGCACCTGCTGGGATTTCCCAGAACATCTTGTCTCTTCTTCCTCAACCGAGCGTGATGTGTTTTCTTGTCTTCTGAGAATTGTGTACGAGCCCTTCAGTCTCGGAGTTACTACATGCAGCTTCTGAAGGAGTAGAGAGGAAGATGAGGGATTTCATGGTCATTTTCTAAATGGGATAAAGTAAACCTCAAGATTGGGTTTCAGATGCTGGTGCGTGTGTCCCGGCCGTGACTGACGCTGGTGGCTGGTGTGGAGTTCTCATGTGAACTCTGCATGGGAGGACAGAAAAAGAGACCTGAGCCGTAAAACTGGGTGCTTTGAAATATGACCAGCACAGATGGGATCTGTGTCCTTTTATCCTCTTGGGTAGAGATTCCAAGCAGGAGCAGAGGGTGTGGGAGAGCCGGGGGTCCTCTGTGTTTCCCTGGAGGGGTGAGTGGGGCCCATGATTTGCTCAGGGAGCTGGGGCCAATCAAAGGATCCTTGGACCTCTCCAGGGACCAGAGGCTCCACCTCATGGGAACTGGCAGCTGCGTTCCACTGCGACACTGGAGATTCCCCGGCGGATTTTCTGTTGCCTCTGGCATCAGTAGGGCTGGTGAGGGAGAGGGAGCTGTGGCAGCACTTCTCAGTGAGGTTGTCTTTGTATAGTGTTTGGCACAGGGGCTTGGCACACGTAGGTGCTCGTGCCCTGCCCAGGTGAGCCTGTCCCCAGTGGCTCATGGCCTCCGTGCCCGACCTCGGCAGGCGTGGGGGCAGCACTACTTTGTCTTTGTCTTCTCTCTCAATGGCTCGACTTTTCTCCTTTCGCTTTGACCAGCATCAAGGTGTTTCTCAGATGTGTGTGAATGAAGGGCATGAGGATCGTGGGCTCATTGATGCCTCTTCTGGGTCCGGGACATTTGGAGAGTTTCTCATTTTTCCTGTACAGATGCGTTTAGATCAAATATGTAAAGTAACTTTTTCTTTTCAACAGTATGCAAGTGTTGAGAAAAATGGCGAATTTTTCATGTCTCCGAATGACTTTATCAACCGGTACCTGAATATTTTTGGAGATTGCCAGCCCAACCCCGAGACTGTGGAGCTCCTAGGAAGTGTGGTGGACCAGACGAAGGATGGGTATGTCGAGGCTCGGTTTCATTGGGAGTCATGCTCAGAGGTTTTTCTGTTGAAGGGGCTGGGAAGAGGGATGTTTTCACCTTGAAGGAGTTTTCTCCATCTCACTCTCCTCAATTGTCATGTCAGAGTTAGGAACGGCTCTGACAAGTGAAGTGGCTTTTCCGATGACAGTCGTCCCTTCTCTCCAGGCTCCCGTGCTGCGGGTGCAGATCGCGGCCTCCTCATTGAGCAGGGCAGCAGGCCTTCTGCTCGGTGCCTAGGACTGGGTGGGCCATGCCTCCTTCTTCTCTGGACGCGGGCATCGCCAAGAGCCCACGACTCGGTCGTGGGAGGGGGCCTCTAGGCAGCAAGGCCCCTAGCCCGGGGGCGATTGTGAGAGTCTCAGGTCACACCAGGACTGCCCTGCCTTCCTGGGTTTGGGTGAGGGGAGCTGCGGGCCCCCATCTTCGCCATGGGAGAGCCCTTCTTCCATCTACAGTGTGCCGGACAGGACCCTTTGTCCTCTGTGCGTCTCGGTCAGGTGCGGTCGGGGAAGCCTGGTGCTGGACTGTGTGTCCAGAGGCTTTGGAGGTAAGCTGGCTCTGTTGACTCTCAGGCCGGGCTTTCTGCGGGCTCTTGCCCTCCCCTCCCCTGGGCAGCGAGGCTGCTGGCTGCTTCGCCTGAGGGGCTTTCTGTGAGAGGCTGTTGGCGTCGGTCAGTTCGGAGTTCCCCCAGCAGCAAACGGCATCACTTTCTCATCTTTATGCTCCTGATTTGGGGCTGACTTTGACTTTCCTGTGCGTCAGGGTAGAGTCACTTTTACTCCTAGGTAGGATGGTGCCTTGAAATGTAGAGGATCCCCGTTCTCCCACAGATGGGCCATCAAAGGTCAGGGGTGCAGGTCACTGAACACAGGTACCAGGGAGTGTGTCTGCACGTCTGTCTGTCCATCCAGGACCATGCAGGGAGACATGCATGTGGGTGCTCAGTGCCATAACATTCAGTAACTGAAGGAAGCATCCCATTGCATTAGAGGTTGGTAAAAACGCAAGTTCATGCATCCCCTGAAATCTCCCCATGGTCAGAGGGAAACATTTGGCCCTAGCAGACATTCGACTTCTCCTCCCGTCCTCCAAAGGGTGCGCCAGACCTCCGAGGGAGGATGCGCGGCCTGAGAGGGAAGGGACGGAAGGCTCTAACACAGAGGGCTGGGAGAAGGACCAGGAGATGAGTGTCGAAAGCCAGGAGGCAGAGGCGAGGCGGAGGGAGAGCGTTCGGGCATGGGTGACGCGGTCCAGAGGTGGAATTAGACCATGGGTGAGCAGTGGCAGTTAGGCCGTGGAGACCATGGCAGGGAGAGGTCACAGAGGCTCAGACTGTGAAGGGCTTTGAAGGCCAAACAGTATTCCCCTGGATTCCAGAGGGGGCAGGGAGAGTAGGTGACGTGGCCAGAGATCACGATGTTGGTGGTAAATGGAGGATGGACTGCAATGGGAAGACCCACCAGAGGTGGGCTATTGCAGGAGTCCAGGCGTCTACACTGTCCTCTCAGAATGGGGCTCCATCCCTGGAGCCGGCCTGGGCCTTGAGAGACCAGCTGTGGCCTTACTTGGGGTCTGGTGCCCTCGGCAGTAAGTGGGAAGAAGGGGAGTGAACCTTTCCCGGTCAGTGTCTCACTTTGCGTGTCCTGGAGAGTTCCCCAACCTAGCGGCCCTAGAATCCTCCCCAGGTCCTGTGGACAGGAGGCCAGGAAGTCCCGAGGCTGCCGAGAGGAGGGGAGGCTCTTTGAAGGAGCTGGATTAGTCTGCGGAGGATACGCTCTGTGTTTGTCATCGCAGGCCATCCTGGGGGGTGGGAAGGTCTGGGTGCTACCCGACGCCTGCACAGTCTGTCTTTCCTCGGTCACTTGTAAGTGTTGGGAAGGGGAGAGAAGATGTCTACCTCACACGGGTTTTATCCGTTTCCCCCACACAAACCAGAAAGTGCTCCATAGAGGCTGGCTTTGATCATGTCATTATTGCCAGAATAGTTTCTGGGAGGCCTGAAATTTGGGCTCAGGAGAATGGCGTTTGCGTACTGAATGACGCTGATGACCTTGGCTTTCCTTGATCTGCCCCTTCATAGGAGGCCTCGCCCCTTGGGCCATCTGGTTTGTCTGTGTCCCTGGCCTGACCCTCAGTGCTGGCTGCCCAGAGTGGGCAGGCCCTTTGCTCGCCAGCCCTTTTGGCCACCTCTCCTTGGAGGCTCAGCCTAGGGCACCTCCTTCTCCCACCTTTCTCCAGGAATTCAGCCCCTTCCGTTCACAGCCTTCCTGTCTCTTGTCCTTGGGGACCACGGCTGACATGTTGCACTTTCCCCATATACCCCAGCTTCTTCACTCCTGCCACCTGAACTTTCCCCCCGGGAAGGAATGAGCCCTTGATGTTGTCATGGACACCCTGAGCCTTCCACCTCCACGGCCCAGAGCCCTGGATGTTCCACAGAGACTCTCCTCCCCTCCTATCACTGCCCAGACGCTCAGTCCCCTCCCTTGTCCCTGGTACGTCGTTGAACCAGGACACTCCCCCTGATGCTGACTCCCTGGGCCAGTTCAGCAGGCTGTACCCCTCTAATGGCCCCTCTTCCTGCTGAGCACTTGTTAAGTGCCTTTTGTGTGCAGGGGGCTGCTGAGAACAGAAAGGTCATCCCTGCCCTCTGGGGGCTTCCATCCAGGGCAGAAGGAGAAGGGAGCAGGGGAGGCAGGAAAGAGAGGTGTCCTGAGCAACACCAAGGACGCTGAGAGCGTCTGTGGGGAGCCGCCTCTTCAGGCAGCCTCCGTACCTCCCGAGATGAGGGCCTTTGCCTTTGCCGACCCCTGTCCCTGGGCTTGGAGCCCATCCGTTGCGCCCCTTGGGATCTCCGCCTTTCTCAGGGACACTTTCAGCATGGGGAGACCCCAGCCCTCTCTGCCTCATCCTGTAGTTAGAATTGTTGCTGTAGAATCATTAATCCCGAACTGGACGGGACAGAGGTGGAAAATCGGCTCAAAAAGGCAAATTGCTGCTTTTTAGATGGAAGAATGCGCATTCTGAATTACCATCATGGAAGGGACAGGGGACAAACATGTTGTGTCACACCTGGGGATGCTTTCCAACAACAACCGCAGCAAAGTTTTGAAAATAAGCACGGGCTGCGTGAAGTTAGCGGGCTTCTAGGCTGGCGGCAGCGTTCCGACCCTGTTCTTTCAGCAGCGGCCAAAGCCCAGCGCCTTTTCTCAGTCTTCTTCTTCGTGACTGCAGCATCAGGCAGTGTTGACCTCTCCCTCTTTCTGTAGAGTCTCTTGTGTATTCTTGGTTTTTTGTTTTTTTTTTTAATGCTATTTTATTTTCAGTTCCAAATTCTCCCAGGTCATTGAGAAGGCAAGAAAACCAGCCCCGTTGCAAATATGTGCAGGTTGTGCAAAACAGATTCCCACATTAGCCATGTGTGGAAGAGAGGGGGCAGGAAGGAGAGGACAGAGAGAGGAAGCAACCATGCATCGGCCCGCACCCTGCCTCCCTCGTGTCTCTGTCTGCAGGTGGGCAAGCACCACGAGTCCTTTGTGGATCAGTCACTACGGCATTCGTAGGTGATGATCTTCCCATGTTACTGTTCTCCTGGTTCAGTTCACTTCACTTTGCATCAGTTCATATAAGTCTTCCCAGGTTCTTCTGAGAGCATCCTGCTTGTCATTTTCTTAAAGCACAATGGTACTCCATCACAAGTCAGTGGATAGAGCACCGAGCTTGGAGTCAGAAACACCCGAGGTCAAATTTGACCTCAGAAACTTATCTCGAGAAGGAAATGGCAAACCCCTCCAGTATATGTAGGGTCACCAAAGTCGCACACGGCTGAAACAACTGACCGGCAAGCCCATCACCGTTGTATACCTCCGCTTGGTCAGCCATTCCCCTCTGATGGGCATCCCTTTCATTTCCAGTTCTTTGCCAGCACAGGAAGAGCCGCTCAGTCCTCTGGTTCATCTGGGTTCTCTTCCTCCTCCCTGCTCTCTCTGTCCAGGGTCTTCTAGACCCTCCTGTGCGGTTTCCCATCCTGCCCCGCCTGTGATTCATCCGGTTCCAGGGTATGCTCCTGTAGGTGGGAGCTTGGAATCCATAGAAAGGCGGGTAGTTCCTCTAACTGTTCCTGTGTGGTGCTATTTCCCAGGGGTGGGGTGTGGGTGAGGGCTGGAGGTAGAGGAGAATCAAAGGAAAAGGACATTTGTTTTTTGTTTTTATGGATTCTTACACACTGTCGTTTCCTTATAGGGAAAAATGTCTTTTTGTCCCATTCCTAAGACACATGCAAGAATAATTTTCTTGATGAAGAAATTATTTGTATATATCGTTTTCACCCTGCGGTTGTGTGAATGAAACCTAGGTGTTGGCCCCTCGCAGAGCATTAATGAGGCTCCCAGATGGGGATGCTGCAGGAGTATTAGGAGAATGTGGGTGCTGTGGGATGCTGATAGCTGTCCATGGGTTTGCAGTAATCCAGTGCAGGGAACGCCCTCGTTTTGCTAATTAGAGAAGGTTTTTAACACATCCTGGATGGGGGTCTTCTTGGAGGAAGCCTGCCTTTCCAGCCTGGCTGTCAGGCTTTTTGATCCAAACTGTCTTCTTCCTGCCCTTTGAAGTAGGTGCTGAGCTGCTGGCAGAAGCTTTTCTGAAATGAGGCCCATTATCTTTGTCAGGAAAAATGTGAACTCAGGGGAGCAGGCAGGGGCTGCCTGCTTGGGGGAGGGGACAGCCCCTGAGCCCTGCTGCTCTGCTCTTCTTTCTCTTCCTGAGGGGAGGGGGAGCGGCTGGTGGTCCCCCAGGGCATCTGTCACCCCATGGGGTGGCCAGGCCTTTGGAAGATTGGCTACTGGCTCCTTCTTGCCTCGAGATACATTGATTTCCTTGATTTCAGGCGGAAAAGGCTGAGAGGGAGTCTACGGCATAAACGTTGCCCAGAAATCATCTCTCCTAGTCCGGCTGTCCCATTCATGTATGATGGGACAG